ATCTCAACGCTTTCATTGGAGGCAAGGCCCCTTTTAAGGTTACTACTACAACAAAGGTTGTACCAGTGAAGCCGTGGGTCTTTCCGTTGAAAGAAGCTAGAGAAAAGGCTTGGGAGTCGATAGCAGACGAAGTGCAGTTAGAAGACGTAGGTCCGCTAGAGGAACTGCCAGACATCGAAGGCCCTGTAATGAAAATAGACCTTCCTTCAATTCCGAAAGATGAAAAGAAGAGAAGCATCACTCTCGAGAGGTTCATGAAGTTCGGACCCACGTCAGGCTGCAAGGCCTGTGAAGAAGGGGGTGATCGTCACAACAGTTATTGCAGGGAAAGGTTTGATACCTTGATTAAGGAGTCCATGCATTCATTCCCTAGCGATATGCCGAAGGGCTTTGACCAATGGAGGCTTGAAGAAGATGGCACACTTGTCAGGTACCACTTCGTGAGAAGGAAAAAGCTGTTCAATCCACTAAAATGCGACAAAGATCCTCCAGCCAAGCTTAGCAGTTTTGCAAAAAGGATCACTTTCGCAACAAAGGAGGATGGAACAAAGCTTGAACCAGTTGAGCACGATGACTGGACTGACACAGGTGAGTGGAAAGATTTTTGGACCGGAAAGACCGTTTTCTTTCCTAAAGAGGTGCCAGCGGCAACCGCGAAGGCCGAACCAAGTTCAGACTCTTGGGAAGTAGATTACAGAAAGGGAATTTTGGTAAGGCATCACTTTTCAAGTAGAAGTGATTTGTTCAATCCAACATCGATTCCAATTCCTGTAGAATGGTTGACCGGGTCAAGAATCACAATCGCCATCTCAGATTCCACCAACCGCGAAAAGACAGTAAAAGACAGTTTGTCTTCCCCAAACTCGAAACCATTTTCGGGAACTTGGACAGGCAAGACATATTTCATGTTCAAGGGCGCAGGTTCAGTGGTTCCCCATGCCAGGTATCGAGAGAAGCAGCAGAAGTCGTTGCCAGGGTATGGAACACTCATTGAATTTTGTTGCGAAGAAAACTCTACCATGGGAAAGATTTCGCAAGCCACAGGATTGAAACATATCAGACTAACCAAAAGGGTAGGAAACATGCAAGACCCATGCCAAGTCTCGCAGTTGCTTGAAGGTTTGGAGTCAGGTTTCCTGGATGGTTGCGATTTGTGGGGTTCGTTACCCTGCACTGCATGGAGTCGTTGGCAGACAGTAAATTTGAGCAGACTAGGCCCTCACTTCCGAGCCAAATTGCTTGCCAAAAGAGAAGAGTCCAAAGTTTTGCAAAGGACCTTCTTCCAAGCGGCAGAAATCGTGGTAAGGAGGGGTGGAAGGGTCCACTTTGAGTGGCCAGCATCGTGTTCAGGTTGGGAATTGCCAGAACTTCAGAAATTTCTTAGCCATCCACTGTTCACGCTTGTGAAATGTAATGCTTGTGCTTTTGGTTCTGAGCATTTCAAACCATGGCAGATCGCAACAATGTCGCCATCCTTAGCCGCAGCGTTGGAAGAAAAGAAATGTCCGCATGGATCGAAGCATTCACATGTTCAAGTCGCCGGAAAGTACACCGAGCCTTCTGGTTTTTATCCGATGGCTTTTAGTGAATGCATTGTAGCTCAGCTATTCCCAGACAAAGTGTACAATAATGTGCCAGCAATGCCTTGCGAGTCAATTCAGGTCCAGCAACACCAACCGAACGATCAAACAAAAGAAAGCTTTCATGAGAGCGAAGTTCCACACTTCATTCACGAAGCAATCGATAGGAAGCAATGGGCTTCCATCCCAAATGCACACGTTGAAATTCAAAAGGAAGCAAACGGTTTGATTGCTGCAGGAACTTGGAATTACGATGAAGTCATTCCAAGGAAGGAGCTGGAGAGAATGGCCTTGCAGAAAGGAGAGAAAATCCACATAGGGCATCTTATGACACTCTTGAGCTGGAAACATGCTGAAGATCCTAAGTTGAGAAAACTGAAAGCCAGAATAGTATTCCGCGGAGACGCCGTGAGAGACGAGTTAGGACAACACGCAATATTCCAAGACATCAAAGTCACTCCGACCGCGATCTCTGGAGTGAACTCCAACGTCCTCTACGGATGCCTCGAAGGAAATTCAACCACACAAAGTGACGTAGTGAAAGCTTACGTCCAATCGGACTTGGGTTCCCGGCTTCCCACCTACGTCCAATTGCCCGCTGAGCTTGTCCCAGACAAATTCAAACACCTGGCCGCACCATGCACAAGGCTTTACAAGAGCCTCTACGGCCATCCAGAGTCAGGGGGGCATTGGCATAAGAAGTTTGCTGGAATAATCCAAGAGCTTGGAGGACGCGAGTCAGCATCCTTTCCCTCAAACTTTTGGATTGAAAGTAGCAAACTACTCGTCACTCTATACGTGGATGATATTCTGTTAAGTGGACCCACAAAGGAACACTCAGGATTCTGGAAAGTTTTGCAGTCAAAGCTAGACATCGAAGAGCCTTCTCCAATCGACAAAGTCTTAGGCAGGAAGCACATTGTCAAAAGGGAGGGAAACAAGACGGTTGTTGAGTATGACATGAAAGAATTTGCCCAGTCTTGTGTAGCTTCGTATCTAGAGCTTTGTCCTTGCAAATTAAAATCAGTTGCAACACCATTTTTGGACGATTCGACTTTGCCAATGGACGGTTGGGATGTTAAGGGTTCAGTTCAACCCGTAGCTGCAAAGATTCTGATGAAATGCCTTTGGCTAGGTAGGCTTTGCAGAGCTGACCTAATTCACCCCATCACCGTGCTAGCTCGCAAAATCACAACCTGGTGTTCAAACGACGATCGAAGACTCCACCGTTTGCTTTGCTACATTGATTCAACAAAGCACTATAGAATGCGAAATCAAGTCACCGGAAAAGGTGATGATATCGAAATATTTGGCTTTACTGATAGTGATCATGGGGGCAAAGTAGAGCATGGGTATTCGACGTCAGGTGGTTTTGTCGCTGCAATGGGCAAAGGGACATTCGTCCCCATCACATGGTGTGCAAAGAAACAAGGAGCTGCAAGTCGGAGCACAACGGAGGCCGAGACTATAAGCCTCGCGTATTCACTGTTCACTGAGGCCCTACCGCTCCAAGAGCAAATAGAGAGAATTTTTGGAAGAGTGGTCACACTAAGGTGCCAGCAGGACAACACCGCGACCATTCAAGTGATCCGGAACGGGTATAGTTCCCGTTTGAGACACGTTTCCAAAACACACAAAATAGACCTGACTAGTCTCTTTGACGTGTTCAGATCGAAAGACGTGACTCTCGAATATTGCTCAACAGAACAACAGGCAGCAGACTTGTTTACCAAGTGTTTGGACGCAGTGAAGTTTCGCCGAGCTTTAGACATGGTAGGCATAGGAGAGCCTTTGCTTTAACTTGTTTCCAGCATGCAATAGCAATGCCGGAGTGCTGCGCTTGCGCGCCTCCAGTTCGTCGGTACGCTAAGCAGTTATATTTGTAGTGTTGGTAGTTGGCATTGCAGAACTTCAAGGCGGCCAATAAGTGAAATTGAAACCAACGTTTCCAAAGAATAACCTTCACAGTGAGCACGCAGTGATCAGTTCATTGTATGAAAAGCCATTTTGGCTGCTCCTGTTTGTAGGTCAGTTGCATGTTGAGTTCGTAATTGCTTAGAGGGCGTTCGCAACTCATCAGGAATAAAGTCCAACTTGGCTGTCCAAGACACCCATCTTGAAGAAATGCGGGATACACTTGAGTAGTGAGAAGCGGCCACGCACCCACTAGACACAGGGCCAAACTCATTCTCCTCTTGTGGCTGCATGGAATTTAAAGTAGCAGGAGAGCCATTCTCATCTTGTCGAAGCCTAAGCTTGAAAGTAAGTGCACAACTTTTTCGCTTGCGTACAGGACATTACTCCACTGAGGGGGGAAAAGAAAAACCAGGAGTCATTGCACAGTTTACTCCAGTTTCCCTTCGAACAGTGTCGTACTGTCAGCTTCCGACTATGAACCAAATTTTGGCTCAAGGAGAAAAGGCGCGTCTGTCCGTACCGACGCGCGAGGTTCGTTGAGTGATTTTCGGAAGCGTAGCGGAGGTTCCCAAAGGGAGATACACCGCTGCTTCTTCCTTTGTTTACTTTAGAGTGGATGGATGTTTTACAGTGAGGTAGGTTGGATTCTGATTCTGATTTCACGAAATATCAGGCGCATTCTTGTGCAATCTGGTGCATGCATTCCCACATTTCCTGTGGAATAACCGGTGAATATTTGCCCACTATAAAATGATTTTTTGTTCAAAATTCAGCCCACCTTTCTGAAATAAAAAATCAACCTGTGAGTGTCCAACCCTGTCCTTATAAAATGAATATCAACCTCTATAGACATATCTTGTTTTTGGAGTGTCATTTTCTGTCCAATATTCTTTTTTTATAAAATGAATTTCAACCTTGCAATGTTCAATCATATTTCTATACAATACAATGCCAACCTCTTTTGCCATTGCTGCGTAACTTTCCTCTAAAATAATATGTCAGCCTTGATGTTACACCCACTTGTCTATAGAATGAGGACCACCCCTGGCTGTTTCTATTGGATAAATTGGACAATTCATATTTGGAGCCTACAATTCTGTTACATTAGTGCCTTAAAGGTTGACTCCCTTTATTCTATAGAGAAACTATGCTGTACACTACAAGGGTTGAAAGCTAGATTCTATAGTGGGGCATTGTGCTCCCAGAGCCTGGTTCAGTCATTCATCACTATAAAATGGGGTTCTCAACCCCCACCGGTTATTCCACAGAGGATTATATATATAATTAGATGGTTTTGAATCGGGAGGAGTGAGAAGGTTTGTCAACTGAGCAGTGATGTGATGAGAAATCGGGCTGTCGGATGTTGGTTCTTGCTGCCCTTCATGCATTTGCGGAGAGGAAGCCTGATTTTGAAATATATAGTAATATATATATAGTATAGTATAATACAATATATATTGTATAGAAGATTTGATCAGTTTTTGGAGCTGGGATTTTGGTCAGGAAGCGAAGAGGCTGCAAGAAACCACCAAACTCCTGGAAACCAAGCGGCAGGACATTCCATTATGTTGACATCACATTTGGCATGCTCAATGAGATGACTCTCCGGAGTCGTGATGAGTTCCCGTGACTGCGCGAAAGGAGCACGCCACCCTTCAGCATCGAGCCGAGCAGGCTGGAGTTGCCAGACAAAGCTTCCCACAAGGTTCGCTGTGTTTTGAGGTGTGACATGCATTTAGGTCGAAAGAGAATGCTTACAGTAGGTGAAATGCGCCCTGCTTTGATGAGCTCAGTTCTCTAAGAAAGTGTCAATATGAAATGTTTCAATAGAGAAGCTTATTGGCTGATGTGGTGGTTACATCGTCAGGCTGCTGCTGAAGCACGTCGTTTGGAGGCAGCAAAAGCCTCAATTGTTTTTGTCGCACTTTTGCATCCATCAGAAGATGGAGCATGATTGGTATGATCGCCAAAACAGCAGTAGATCAGTAGACCATCCACTCTACTTGGCAACTTGCAGGGCGTTTGTCCCATTGCAAGGGTGAAATTGTTGGTTACGGTAACACTAAGGAAGAAGCTTCGCTCCATCATCGAGTCCAACTCTTCGAGAAGGAGTTACGAGAGAAGCAGGTCGCCATTTCAGCGACTGAAATTTCTGAAGCGTGACCGGGTCTAAGCGAGCAACAAGAAGCAACTATATTATATAGGATTGGTAGGAATGTGTGGAATCACGAATTAACATCATCTCGCGACCAGTCGGAATTGTAATGTACAAATACATACAAGCAATTCGAGCTTGACAAATCATGCATTCTTATGCATTCTCTATATACATGTATCTAGATGTCTAATTTTTTGAGCAGTTATTATGTAAGGGATTTGAAGCTATCTTTTGTTCTTCTTTGGCAGCTCACATCGGATACAAACTGCTAGCAGACAGGGTCAGATGGAGCAGCATGACAAGCAAGCTGTGCATGAAGGGGCAGGGGTTCCCAGCTCAAGCTGTTCAGTTTTGGAGAAGCGTGCTTGAGAGGTTGCCAATTGCAAAGAGCCAGGAGCGCTGCTATAGATGAAGCTTCTTATAGTTGTGAGATGTAGTGCGCATATGTTTAGGATTGGATAGCCGCGGCTGCACTGGACCTTGCATGAGCCCTCAAGTGGAATCCCTTGCAGTCAAAATTCCTTCCGCAGAATGATCAGTGGGAAAGGTTGATTATTATTCTTTGTTCCGAATATATAGTCGTGGGTTTGCTCTGAATAGTAGCCATGTGCAAAGTGATCACAATGACATGGACATTCCTTGTGCAAAGTGACTGTGACTAATCACGGAAGACAAGAACTCCGGGCTCCACCATTCTGGAAACATGGGTCATGTAAACGAAAACGGACAATCAACACGACGTATGAATACATTGTATGACAAGGTCGTAGATTGCATGCCCGTGACGCCAACAGAGGCCCTGCTGCGGGGGCATCTAGACGAACTGCGCCAGGCAGTGGCCAAGGAACAGAAAGGCTGGGGTCAAAAGCTCGGATTCCAGAAACTTCCAAACGGCACAAACCATGATAATTGCAGAGAAGTACCAATAATGCATAGTTTATAGTTTCTGAATGATTGTGAATCTAGATGTGAGTAGCCATCTCATTATCCTGAAGACGCTCTTCTGTCTTGTGCTTGTACACCTCACACTCTTCTGCTGTATCCACAACAGTGGCACTCTCCGTTTGGAAGGCTTCATGACAGCTGATCACTTGGCAGCAAGAGACCTCAGTTGAATGTTGCATCCCTTGAAAAGTCGGGACTGGGGCAGGTTTGCTTGCTCCAACCGCCACAAAGGGTCTTGATACTTGGGCTCCTGGCCTTACTACTAGGAGCAAAGACGCTACTAGGGGCTCCTGGCCGTACTACTAGGAGCATTATTACTACTAGGATAAATAAACTCCAAGACTCCAAGACAGATGACCTCGGACCCCAAACTATCCATGGCGTCAGGATTCAGTTTTTCTATTTTTTTAAATCATGGTGAAGCAGCATTTTGAGTCGTTCAGGAGTGAGTAAGAGTGTACTGTGACAATCACCGATACTCTGGGTGATGTTGTGCAAAACCGCAATGTTGAGAAGCACCTCCTGTTCAGGTCTTGAAGCCTCACGTCTCGGAAGAGGCCGGACATTTTATGGAGATTTGAGTTGCTTTCACTATTTTGCAGCTGTTGCAAATGCTGCTCAATTTGACCTTTGCAAAGTACATTCAAACGAAGTGCGCTCACTCTTGTATAAGCATTTGGCCGCTGTGAGAGACGGACAAAAGAACTCAATGGCCAGAAAGCTGAGTTTCGGCCACGTCGCTTGAAAAAACTGTGGGAAGCCCACCTTCTGAACGTCGTCTTCCTTGTTTGATGAGGAAACAAATGGGAGGCCCATGGAGGCCCCCATGTTGCAACGAAAGGTTGGAATCCGACAGTCCATCTGGGATTACAGATTTTGACAAGAACTTCAAGTATTGTCAAGTGAAAAAGTTGTCCGCTTGTACTTTGGCAACTACATCCAATTCTTTGTGTTTCCTCGAGCAGTAATTACCCGACATGTCCCAAAGCACTTGGTTTTGTTAGCCATGAGCAAGGGCTTGCATTCATTGACAGACACGAGCAGCCAAAGAAGAAGTCCAGTCAATTCTGGCGATGATCCCAGAGCTGGATGCAGTGGGGCCCCCAGCTAATGCTGAAGAAAGGTCGCGAGATTCCTTCAGGGTTCTGTGAATGAGAACAGACAAAGCGTTTGTTCAGATCTGAACCTAGTAGCGTCCTTGCTCCTAGTAGTACGGCCACGAGCCCCTAGTAGCGTCCTTGCTCCTAGAAAACGTTGATGTGAGGTTTGGGATGCTGGGTCCTGGTGGTCCTGGTGGTTGCGTGTGGATTCTGCTTGAGTGATTTCAAACCCCCAGGCGCTGCGAGTCCGGAAGCAACACGTCTACAGTGCAGAGGCCCGCCCTTTGCCTGGTTCAATCCACTGTATATATAATTATATATATATATATGTTGTATAAGGCCCTCGGCCTTATTTGCTGGAAGAACCGATGCAAGATGTTTTGATGTTCCTGATCCTGACCCACAGTCTCCTAGTCTCCAAGTGGGCATGTTTGGTTGTAGTGGCAGACGTCGAACGGTGCTCGGTCCGAAGCGTGGACATTAGTTTATGCACACAGACAAGTTTTCTACCAGCGTGGCACTTGTTACTAATAGCTTTTTGTTACTACTAGTAAGGCACTTGTTACTACTAGCGTGGCACTTGTTACTAGCTACATTTGTTTGTCAGGTGTAGATAGATGCTACGGTGTTTTTGATAGTGAAAGGTGATAACATACAGTCATACAGTGTTTGTTCTCCAGCGTGCCACCGCTTTGGACTAAATTCTCGCGAATACCAGGTCCACTCTGATTCCATCGATGTGCCCGGCAGCAGAGCCGGATGGTTAAAGAGTTGGCCGGATTGGAAGGAGACGATTGCCCTGACGTAGCCAGACCCCATGAAACATGCATGGTTGCAGCCGAAAAATACACATGTTTCCGATAAAAATAGAGCAATCTCTTGGGTTCGGGAAAATGAATGAACCTGTAATGAAACCTGATCGATTGATTTACTTCAAGAGAAGCCTTGCTCGTCAATCGAAAACAACAACTCGAAATTATATGAGTTATGTTATATGTATATCGCTTAGAACGGGTTTGCCATGCGAATCAGATCATGAAGCAAGTTTTGCGGCATACAGTGGCAATATGTGATCATGTCATATCATGTCAGATGGGCAAACCTACCGACACTTGAGACCAGTTGGGGAAGATCCATTGGGCCCAGACCCTTCTTGCTTCTAGTAATAAGTGCCTCGCTAGTAGTAACAAGTGCCTTACTAGTAGTAACAAAAAGCTATTAGAATTGAATTAAAAGCTATTAGAGCTTTGGGACCTCTCTCTCAGGGCGCTTCATGCAGTGCTGCGCAGCGGAACAGCGGCCCCAGGGTTGGTGTGTCGCTTGGGCCTGGGCCCTGAAGTTAAGAAACCCCGAGTCGGCTTCTTGTTACTACTAGTAAGGCACCTGTTACTACTAGTAAGGCACTTGTTACTACTAAGACAAGACAGAGTCCAGTTCCTCAAAATCTGGTTGGAATTCTGGAATTTTTGTCTTTGGAAGGTCCACACTACATAGACGTACATCGAATCCGCAGGTTTTTTTTAAAGAGGAACTGTGTACTTTGCCTGTTGCCTTGTGCTCGTTGCTTGCTTTCCAGTCTTTGGCTCAAGTGTCAAGGTGCGGTTGCATAATCAGGGGGTGTGCAAGTGTCACTGGCTTTGTAGCCTTCAGAAAATTAATGCAGGAGACTAGTATATACATTGGTTCCAAATGTGTCTTAGCTCTTAAGTAAGATCATGTCAGGTCTGTATATAAGCCTCCAGCCTTCCGGCGCTGTCAGCTGCCTAGGGAAGCAGCAAATCACGGTGTGATGCAACACCAAAGCCTTCTACTGAAATGCTAATGGAGATTAGGGGCAGTGGTGATCGCCGGCAACGAACTGTTCCTACACTGCCCAGGTCAGGGTGCACAAACATGGGTGCCGCTGCCCACAGACCACACAACTGGTCCACATAGCCCCTCGAGCCCCTCTTCAATGTTGCGCGTGAGCCACAGGTTTCATGCTAGGTGGTGTAGCCTGCCCATAGCTCAAAGCTGTTGCTGCTAAACATGGGGTACGGGGCGATACACAATACATCACAGTGCTGTATTGCTAGAAGTTACATGAAGTTACACATCCTGGAGATTCTATAAGGTTGCGACCTCCAGAAGAAATTCTCACTTCTTGGGTCCTACTGTAGGCCAGTGGCAATTTATTTTATTTTGTTTATATATAGATATTTATAGTCTATATAGACGGGCCCTAAATGGAGCATCACAGTCTTGTGCGTCGTGGAGGCTTTGAGGCAGTCTGGCAAAGCCAATTTGTTCTTGGCACGTTTTGAAATCCTTTTTCATGGATCTGGAGTGTCGCTAACGCTAAGGATGACCTGCTAGGATTTGCACCTTCAGGGATCTACATAATCCAAATGAACAAACAAATGCTTTTGGTGCATCCTCGTGGGCCAGGACAGTCCTTCATCAAGGCCAACTCACGGTGCTTCGTCAAGCTGGCCCAGAAGTGCGGCCGCTAGGAGCATGCATGTCAGATAGTCGTGCCTGTCACAAAATGGTGTCCCGCAGATATACCTTCAATAACGAATTGTTTGATGGTTCCAGCGAACTTAATCTGGAAGTGGCTCGTTGCGATTCATGGAATGATCCAAGGGTGTTCACATTTGAACCTCTTGGTAGACCACCAGTTGGCAATTTGAGGCACTGCATTCTCAGCAAAGATGCATTCGAGTACTACACCTCTGCCGGGGACCGCCTGGCTGGCAAGAAGCCCTTGGCCCGCTTCCCGTTGATTCCCAGCAGCTCATTGGAGACAGGTCCTGCAGGTGCAACGGCAAGATAGGGCAAGGGGGGGGTAGGCCGCGATTGATAGTAGAGGTAGTAGCTAGAGGAGGTAGCTACTAGCTGCAAGTGGACGCTACTACCGACAGGACGCAGGATAGCTCGCGCTTCTTCAAGGAAACGTCCTGTCGGGCGGCAGGGGAAGCTTCCTTGAAGAAGCGGTCGCACTAATGATTTGGTTCCTAAATTTTTTGGGAAACTTAAGGTTCGGGGCCGTCTGAGTGCTTCTTGAGTGTGTCCACAGAATTTGAGGAGTCAGAATCGAATGCTAATGCACCACCCAGAACCATGGCACCCATGATGTAGAACCAGATCTGTAATGTCGCAATGTACATGTTTTCATGATCTTACATGTATATGACATGCACGGTCAAAGAGGAAAAGTTTGCAGGTCTAAAGCTACGACATGGAGCTCGGGTCATCAGGCTTCAAGGGTCTGTCAGCAGCTCAGCCATGTCCCAGGGCTTTTTGCAAGTCTTTGTACAACACGAGCTGGAAGCACGAGAGGCTAGTATGTGTAGGCGGTAAGGGCATTTCTTTGGCTAAGCCGTTTCGATGCTGAGGAGGAGAGTGTGGCAGCATGGGGCAGGGCCTTGCAAACGGCATTCAATTCATCACAGAGGGCATCGCCTCTAGGCATAATGTTGTGCAACTTGCGTATGAAAAGAGGCTTGGGCATGCTTGGGCTAGCTCTGGTACATGTTTATTTCGTTTAGAGACAAAACGCCAAGCGATGTTTGTGCTTGTTATTTGTGATTTGCAAGAAGACGTTGCAAGCGCAAGTCAGTTGTGGTAGCCAGATCCTTTGAGCCATCTTCAATTCCAGATCCATTACCCGTCTCAAATTGTTATTGTTACTAGTAGTAAGGCACTTGTTCCTACTAGCGTGGCACTTGTTACTACTAGTAAGGCACCTGTTACTACTAGCGTGGCACTTGTTACTAGTAGCTTGGAACATACCGCCTCAAAATCACGAAGTGCCAACGTGGCGATGTCCATCTCCCTGACAGGATTCTGCAGAAGTCTTGGGATCGACAGCTCATCATATGTGTAGCACAGCGTGTAGCACTTATATGTATGAAATCTCAGGACTCATTCACCATTCTGAAAAGATACTACCAGGTTGCCGGACAGAGTGATGAACTCACGATGCTATTTGTGTGGTGCCAACGGTGCCAAGGGCCCAACTGGTTCTGCGTGTGGCCAGCCTGGGGCAGCAGCTTTGCGAGGTGCTTGCTGAAGCAACGTGGCGTGTGCGGGATGTGAAGGCGAGGTTCCAGGAGTGCAGCGCACGAGATTCTCATTCAATTCAGTTTGCAGTGTTTTTCGTCGATTATGCAGTTGGGGAAGGAGGTTTAGTTTTTTATTGCTGCAAGTCATAGGGAGGAACGGAACCAGGAGGTAAGACCAGAGAAGCATGTTGGGATGATTGCACCTCAGAAGCCTAAATTAGGTGCGTGTTCCAATTGCTACAAGTGATTCACTAAGGACTACTTTTATTCTCTTACATTTCATCCTGCTTGCATGACGAGTAAGTTGATATTGTCGTTGGGGTTCCGGTTGCACATGGTTCCTCCTGTTTATGCGGTAGTGGGTTTGTGGGTGGCTTGGCAACGGTGTCCAGATTCTTCCAGGCGGTAATCAATGCCAGATGTGGAATCTTGCCCTCTGAGCAGCGGCTGATTTACAAGCAATTTGGCGTTCAATAGTGAAGAGACAAGCACGGTGAGTGTTTGTTTTGTGGGCCTGTATGTGCCTCCTGTCGCTCTCCCATTTAGTCAGGTGTTGTGCCTAAGGATGAGCCTGCTGGAGGATCAGCAACTGCTGCAAGAAGTTCTACCTTTGAAGGTGGGGAAGTTCCAGGGAGTGCTTCAGGCTTGATCATTGCATCAGGACAGCTTCTTACCATGACAACAAAACACATTGTTGTTTTTTTTAATTTTGTGTATATGTACATATATATATACACGATTTATCCGAATTCATGTTTTCCAGCGAGATATGCTGCGATCGAACATACAAAGAAAGATTGTGTAGTCGAGGTGTGCGATCACAGCACGTTACAGCCAAGCTGGGCAAAGCTGTTGATGCAACAATGGACTTTACTGTACTGCACATGTGTTTCTGATGTTTCTGGCAAGAGATGACTTGCAGACATTACATAGGTATCTTGATACTGAGATGTAATCTTGATCTATACAATTCTACAGTGCCACAATTCAATTGGTGAGTCCCCTCACTATATTCCATGGGATGCAAGGGCGCGGGCTTCCTTGGCACTCTTCATGTCCAACGTTTGCTCACGTGACGTGAGGGTTAGGGGCAGCACAATGCAAGTGTGCTATGTTTGAATCGTGGCTTAGAATTAATTAGCAGCAAAGTCTTCGTGATGAACTACAACATGGAAACTAGACGAGAGTGGGAACAGGAAACAGGTGTTTTCTTGAGAAGGCTAGGAGCAGTACTGTACCTTGCAGGTTTGCTTGCGTAGGATTGAGCAAATATTTTGTGACAGATCCAGGATGAGTGGCTCCGATAGACAGTTGGCTCAGGCAATGTAAGGCTCTGTAGGCCAAAGCATCCAAAGAGTGTGTATGGCTTAGACTCAGACGCAACTCAAGCCCGACCCTGGGAGTTTGTTGGGAGGTAAGTGAGGTAAGTAACAGGTACGGTATTTCATGTGTACGTGGCATTTTGCAAGACGTCCTTTCCTCGCTGTCCTTTTTTCTCGCAAGGATATCATGAGGCAGCGCATGACACCATGACACGCCTAATTTAGCATCCCCAAGAAGAAGCCAGAGACTATTGTACAAATATGTAAAGTATATTCCAATGATCTGCCAACAATACTATGTTGGCCTGATTCTAGGTTGCTTGCTGCTTGCCAGGCGGATCACTTGCCGTACCATGACCTTTCTTTGGTTCGCTGCCCTCCAGTGGTGGAGGTCTCAAATTCAGGAGCAGACCTGCACTGCCGGCTCAATGACCTTTGCAATATGTGTATCTATACAATATTACCGCATAGCTTGTCAGAGAGCACAACTTGCATAGTCACATAGTCGTGCATAGTCAACGTTTCGTACACTGGCCTCAGGCGGGATAAGCTTCCTTGAAAACCTGAGCCCTACTGCCTGCTTGAAAGTTGTTCTTACTACCCATACAGCTAACATAGCTAACAATCTCCACTACACTACGCACCTCCAACAAACAAACTATAGGACCGGATAACCCCACATGTTAACAACTTTACCACGGACAACCTCTACAAAAGCAGAAGCGCAGGGAGAAAAGAGGGGTTAGAGGCTGAAGGAAGAGAGTGAGGGAGCGCTGATGGGGTCGGTGGTTAGTTTGTTGGTGGCAATTGGTTGGTGGCAGATTGTTGGTGGAAATTGGTTGGTGGCAATTGGTTGGAGGCAGTTTGTTGGTGGCAGTTGGTTGTTGGCAATTGGTTGGTGGCAGTTTGTTGGTGGCAATTGGTTGGTGGCAGAATGTTGGTGGAATTTGGTTGGTGGCAATTGGTTGGTGGCAGTCTGTTGGTGGCCATTTCTTGGTGGCAATTGGCTTGGTGGCAATTGGTTGGTGATAATTGGTTGGTGGCAGTTTCTTGGTGGCCATTGGTTGGTGGCAATTGGTTGGTGGAAGCTGGTTGGTGGCAATTGGTTGGTGGAAGCTTGTTGGTGGCAATTGGTTGGTGGCCATTTCTTGTTGGCAATTGGTTGGTGGCTGCTTGTTGGTGGCAATTGGTTGGTGGCAACTTGTTGGTGGCTGGTTGGTGGCAACTTGTTGGTGGCAATTGGTTGGTGGCAACTTGTTGGTGGCAATTGGTTGGTGGCAGCTTTTTGGTCCAATTGTTGGTGGAGGAGGGAGGAGGAGGAAGGAGGACGAGGAGGAGGAGCGGATCCGACACCAAAAACAACAACCCGACACGTCAACGTGGGGAATAACAAACAAGCAAGCAACCAAGCTAAGCCAAGTCAAGTCAAGCCAGCAAGCAAGCAAGCAAACAAACAAACTTGCAAAGCATATATAATGTATAATTGGTATAGTCTTCCAAGCACCATGATGACTACAATAATGTTCCGCTCCAATTTTTTGAGCCTGAATACTAAATGCGCAACGCGAAGTTGCTTGCAGGAGTCTTCATGTCAAGGCACCTGGCCTTGGCCGCTGTGCAACGAGATTGGCGGCAGCTGGGGGAGATCGACCAAAAATACAGGTGAGCGGTCCAGGGCTGTCAGGCTGGTGACAGATGCAAAGCAGGTCGGTTTTTTCTGCCAGAAGTTTGTGATACCTGGTAGCCCTACAAAGGATTGATATGGATTGATATGGTTTGTTTCAGCAGATAGTATCGACCAACCTATAGTTTTGCTTGGTTTTTGTGCACGACATGAGACACCTCCGACGATCATATTCATTTGTGTGCCTAAAGTTCGGAAAATCAGCCTCATGGACTCATTTGCCCATGGAGAACTGCTCGTTAAAGGCTTGAAATTTTCTCCGGCAGTTGGTTTCTCTAGACTAGCTATGACAAGGCTTGCTTGTTCGCCAAATTGATGATTTCTTCGAGAATCCTCCCTACGTTCTTAAGATTTTAACAGTAATGTTGTTTTATACCCACGGAGCCGGGTTTGCATTGCATCACAACATTGAGTTGCACTACCCTGGCCAAACGGTAACGTTTTGAGTGAAGGTGTGATCATGAGATTGTCATGGCTGCTGTGGCGCAGGCCAGCGGAATGGGTCATGGTTTATCCATGTTTATCCCATTCACTCTGACATTCCAGGTAGGACACAGTGGTTTGCAACTTACAACCTCGTACTGTATGTATTCTATCTCGGCGGCAGTCCTGGATTGGAGACAGATGCAATTGTATGGGTTGTCGCTGCATCATTCATCAAATTAGACATGTTGATGCAACTCCTGAAGGTGCTGTCGCACTGTGCTGGCTTGATCGACAAAAAATCCTGTTTCAGCATAATCAATAAAACATAATAAAACTGTTCTCACAAGTGATGTACGCTTCTCCTTTAAAGTTCATACAAGTTGATGGACAGCTATCCGTTGGTTTGCGACATGTTATAGACTATAAAGTACGTGTCCATAACCTCGGTAACCTCGGTGTCAGGATTGCATGGCCTTGCAGTTTGCTTCAGATGACTTGCGAGCTGACCGTGAGATCATGTTGGTTGCATCTTGAATCTTGAACATCCACTGAGGTTTTGCAGGTGTAGTCTGTCGTGAGGAATCAGAAACCCTGCAATAGGAACGCAATGGTTTGTTGCAAATAAAAGTGCTAGAAGAAAAAATACATGTTGGACCTTCACTGCAAGATGCACCAGCTTGAACTGCTTATCCAAAGCAAAAGCCGAACAGGAGATTGATTGTAATCAATCAGCACCGGCTTCTTTGGTGATGCGTTCCTTTGGGTTCCCTCATCATGAGTCATTACATCATGACTATGACCGTCATGCATTCTTCTGAAATTGCTTTGCTTCTGTCCACCACTCCTAGATGAGTGGCCTTGATTCCTTGATCTCAAGCACCTCCCTTGATTCCTTGTCTCTTTTGTCTCTTGTCACTAACTATGCACTACGTTCTATGGCTGATGTTCTGAGGCACTCCATCAATCCGGTTCAGCCATCCAATTTGCAGATGAGACTCTTCGAGAAGATTTTATTCCATCTGCTGTGGGCTCCTTGTCGTGATCTTGGGGGAGAGGGGCTTTCCATGGCTTTCCAGTTTGTGGCTTCAGAAGTAATGTTCGAGGGCTTGTAATGATTCCTGTTCCAAGTATGGATCCCAGCCAACACCCTCTGAGGCTATTGACTGGAAGAGCTCGAAATCCAACAAGACATCCTTGATCCAGGACCAGAAGAAGACAGGTTTAAGCCAGCCTGGCTCAATCGCGGCTTTTGTGCCGGCATACACAAGCTGGCGCAGAGGGAATGCGTCCGTTCTTCATTGCGGATGAAGACACTGCCACCGAGTCAAGCCCAAGCAGCGAGGAAACACGCACTTGCTTGGCCAATCTGCGGTCACTACGAATTGACATGAAGGCGATAAGTTGATAGACGGATGCGGAAAGGATTGTCGCCCAATGCTGGCTTCTGTGGGTTGTACGTTGTTGCTTGGAGCTGAACTGCCAAAGGGAGTAAAAGGGCTGAGAGAGTAGATCGAACAATATACACACATCATCGCAAACCCTGGAGTTTGTAGAAAAGCCTTCACAGGCATGTCAAGTGTCACTGAGGTCACGCGGACTATATGATCGGTCCACATCGTGTTCATCTCCTTGTCATGTGCTCAGATCGCTGGATGTTATTCCTGGAGATTCCTAGAATGAGTCAAGGATTCTATAGTCCCTGACCAAGTACAATCCTTCTGTCAGTTGCTGTAGCCTCAAGTCCTGTGTCTTTCTGGATTCTTTGATCTCTATTGGCATTTGTTCTTTTGGCTGTTTGTTGGATGGTAAGGGACCGTGTTTTGCTGCACTTGGCCAGTCTCAGCTGAAGCCAGTAGCAGAAATACTGGCAAAACTGTCCAATCCGTGGTAGAGCAAATGATTAAATCCTACAGCTGTAAATGCAATCAAGAAGCAGCATCATCTTGGACTTGACAAACCTGCAAATCTCAGCGATCTATCCCTCACGAAACCATGCAATCCTAGCAACAGCTGCAATCGCGTCACAGACCTCACGAATCTTTGTAGATAAGGATCCTAGGCCCGAGCATCGCTGAGCCCAAATGGAATAATTATTTAAAAGGTATCTTAAGCTTAAACTCACTGATTTGTGATCTGAGCTGGAGCTGTTCAACTGCTTTCGGCGTTGTTTCAATCTTCAAGGACCTTTGTAAACCGATACCCTATGCATGAACAGGGTATAGCCTATAGCCGTAGAAACGACGTCTTTGTAATAGCCACCCATGCCTCGATTGAACTATAGACTGGACTCACATGCAAAACCAGTTCATCCGACCAGTGTGAGCGTCTTACCTACATGTTAAAATAAGTTCATCCTGGTTCCTTGCATGCTACATTGTATCCATGGTTTTAGGTTGTCTTGAGGAAAGCAACAGCACAAATCATATGTGAAGTATAAAATACCTTCTTCACAGGAGCTCACTGCTGGTGCGGTGATCAAACATAGGCAAAGAACTGCAGGAACCCACACACACATTAAATACTTCACTTCGAGTGATCCCTACCATGACATGTCAATCTGACAAATTGTTCGTCATGCATTGAAACATTGTTTTGGCATTCTTTCTGGCATATCTTCCGATATTCTTTCTGGCATATCTTTTGGCACTCTTTCTCACATTCTTTCTAGCATATCTTCTGACAGTCTTTCTGGCGCATCTTCTGACATTCTTTCTGGCATATCTTCTGAAATTTACAGAAGACATGCTTTTCGACACTATTTCTGACATACTCTTTGGCATATCTTCTGACATTCTTTCAGACATTATTTCTGGCATATCTTCTGAATTCTTCTGACAATCTTTCTTGCATATCTTGTGGCACTTCTTTCTGGCATATCTTCTGACATTCTATCTGGCATATCTTCTGCATATCTTCTGACATTCTTTCTGGCATATCTTTTGACACTCTTTCTGACATTCTTTTTGGCATATCTTCTGACATTTTTCTGGCATATCTTATGACGTTCTATCTGGCATATCTTCTGACTCGCGGTTGAGGTCCAGCGGGTGACACTGCCGTCGGGGGCTGGCGGTTGAGGTCCGCGGGGGCTGACAGTTGAGGTCCGGCAGGTAACACTGCCGTCGGCAGCTGGCGGTTGAGGCCCGGCCGGTAACACTGGCTGGCGGTAGAGGAGGCGAGGAGGACGCGGAGGAGAACGCGGAGAAGCTCACACTAAAAACTAACAGCTCTCACCTGACAGGTGGGGAAAAACTCCTTGAAGGCTGCATTTGTTACATAAATGAAGCTGCTCAGCTGAACTACAGTATATCTTTGATCAACGCCCGTTGAACTACAGTATAACTACTACGTATCTTTTGTTATGGTCTATTAAAGGTAATGCGGCGCTGTTGGCTACAATGCCCAATCATCTCAGTGAATGACTCTCCTTGTTTTTGTTGAGTCAGTCTGGCGGTAGCAGTTGGGGAACTCAATAGCACACTACAGGTTTGAAACTGTGAGTTTGCAAAAAGTCATGAACCAACCCCATGTGGTTGCAAATCATTTTGCATTCGCTTAACAAGTTCTGTTCCTGTCCATGTGGGCCTTCAACCTTATTTTCAGATGTGACCCTTTTAACACTCTGCCCACCCTTCACAGGGGGTAGGGATCGCGGATGGCGATGCCAGGTCTTTGCAACAAGGTGCATGACCAGGGTTGCAAGGCTCCCCTATTCATGTCCATGTTTTACCCCTATTCTTGGACTAGTTGCTGCAACATCAAAATGGTGGGAGTGTACGGAATAATTAGGAACCATGCGTGGTTGGTCCTTCTACCTGTTGTCTGGACTTGTTTGATTTAGTGAGTGACCTCAAACTCTAACAATAATTTCGAAGAACAGTTTATGGAACTCATACCTCGCTTGCATTCCTTTCAGCCAGCAATTTCCTCAGAACCAAGGCAGGGCCAGGTGGCACTTTGCTCTATAGCAAGGACGGTGAGCAGGTCAAGCCCAGTCACGCTAAGTTCTTGGTGTTGAAGATTCTCGCTTGCAGCTTTGCCTATGAAGCTGATCCAGTCGCGTAAACATGTTTGTTGTTTTTTTTGTCGCGCTCTATATATACATAGGTGTACATATATAAAAAGAGGGAAAGACAGAGAGATATATAGAGAGAGAGAGAGCAAAACCACCATGTTCTGAATGGTCACAGGTTTAGCTGATGCACATGTCGAGCATTGGAATGTTGACAGGCGCAGCAGATCACCAACTTGCTTCATGAGCAGGTCCGGACTTATTGTTGGGTTCTTTTTCCAGAGCTGGAATGAAGAGACCTGTGGATTCCATGCCTTAAAGACCAAAGAATCACAAATACCATGGTATTTGGGCGGGCTAGTTCGACCCAAATGTAAACAGTCAAACTGAGGGCATGATACGAAGTGGATCGAAGTTGCACATGTTTGGATGAACACAATAGACACTCTTTTGAGGCGCAGCAGCACGCTTCTGCAGCCCATCCTCATCAAGATTTCTGAGCGCATGTCCTATCGAAGTTTTTGGGGCCCTACGCCCCTTGGCCAAGGGTTTGGAGGAGTCTGTCGCAGACTAGAGGCACTCTTCACTCTCTTCGCTTGTCCACGGGTTTGTGTAAAGGGTTGTGAGAAGACCCGTGAATGATTACCGCAATCATAGTTACAATTGTTCAAGCAATCGTAACCACTTATCAACTTGCAAGTTGGAAGTTAATGTGATTTCATAGGTTTGGGTTATTTGGGTACTGTAGTTTAAAAATGCTAGAACTGCCTTCTCCCAAGCATACGGCGACAGCTTGGCACTGTAGAGGAAGGCTTGCTGCATACGCCAAAGAAGCTTATGCAAGCTCAGCAAGTCTCCAACTACAAAGACTTTTGTGTCAGCTCCAGATGGAGAGAGACGCAGGAATCGGTGAAAAGCAGAGTGCAGGGCAGGGTTAAAGACTAATTTTGAGCTGAACCTGGTGCACAGGAAAGGTAGCCATTGAACTGCACTTCGGTAAGTCATACTAGAGGACAACTGTGCAATGTTGCATGACTTTGCAGTTACAGTATGGTCCAAACTACAACCTTTCGTCACGAGAAGTTTGTTTGCGCCAAGTTCATCTACAGTACTACTTCTGGGCATGGCAATCAAGAACATCCATGAATCAACTTTTTGGTCGTTCATGAAGGCCACATTTACTTACCAAAAATCAACCAACTGCCGAGCGACCATCCTGCAGCGTTCTTAACAATCATGTCACCCAAGACAGACATTCGATGCCGAACGAGCAGCTACAACATTTTGAGGTTTTTGCTCATCCCGGAAGGCCAAAAAGAGACAACACTTGCTTTGACTGGTCACTTCACTTTGTCACCAAGATGTAGCTGTGGCTGGCTGTAGCTAGCTTAAGAGAGATACTAGGTGGCCGATGCCATCAAGCCTTTTATTCATAGTTATAGATGACTGGATAGGATAACGGATAACTTCTTCGTGAGGATCGCTTCGAGTCGGTGACCTTCAGCTTGTATGTGAACGGCTTCGCCTTCTCCACCCTGGATGGCAGAGAGGTTCAAGGGTCCAGAAATCTCATGAATCGGCAGCTGACCACTGCGATTAGCCGAAAAAACAACTTAAAGAAACAAACAGCAGTATGAGGCCCTTGTTTTGGTCTTGTTGGTAGTTTGTAAAAGAATGCCAGGCTGGTGTCAAGGCCATAGAATGCATTCTGAGAATCTGTTGATTTGCAGTTGGTGATGTTGAAGCCTTCATTTGACTCAGTTGCGTCTCTCATTTTGGACTTCCACACACGTTGAAGACCTCAACATCAAATGTCAAATGACCGGAGTCGTTCGCAGGTGAATCTCTGAAGTGGTTTCAGAAAATTCAGATTGTTGAGGATATGTAAAAGCCTTCCACCAGCCGTCTAAGTTTCGCAGTGTCGTGCTACCAGGCCTCCGTCTCCTTGTCACCCTTCTCACTTATTCGGAACTGCCGCTTCCAGCTGGGACCTTAGATGGCTCAATACATGGCTTATACCTGCCCTTGTATTACAACACGTCAGTGGCAACCTCTTGTAAATCCAAGCATTATAGGCCATGGCGGCGGCGATATGCGGTCATTATGATTTGCATCATTGGCATCATATGTAGGAACGCGCTCCGGTTCGTGAGAGGACTTATAGAAGCGGAACCAAAGTAGAGACCAGAGCTGGTGCTCCCACCAAGATCTAGAACCGGTCACTCATCACCAGGTCGGGCGAGTGTGCCAGACTGAAGAGCTTCAAGGCAAACAGTGGTGGAACTGCGACAAGTGGTGCTCAACAAATTGGGCCATACGCAGCTCACATATACTTGTGGGGTTCAACTTGGCTAAGTGGCATACCATGTCAACACGCCTTTTCAACATGCATTAAATTGTTTGCAAAACCTTTTATCACTTCTCTCTAGTTATACTCCCGATTGGGACCATGCAGAGACTTCGAAGACAGAAGAGAAAGGAGAGGATTGAACCGGACCGCAGGGGATGAGGGATTGCAAGCATGCTTTCGATCGAGACACTCTTACTGCAAACTGCTACGATTTTGTTGGACGTTGGATCAGCATCCACCTGTTGTTTTCTTTGAGCTACTGCGCAGAGCAAAAAGCCTTACAAGTCAGATTGTGGCCCATTCCGGGATGTGGCGCCCGAAGTCATTTTCAGGGGATCCCCTAAGGCTGTGTCGCAAGTGAAAGGCATGCTTTAGCTACTAAGCTTCCTTGGCTGCAGGTGTCGCTACAAGAGCCTGATCCTTGCTGCTACTTCGCGGTACGAAGTACTCAAGACAGAGAAGCTGAAGAGGTCTGACACAATCTTCTTTTCTGTGATTTTTTTCTCTTCTTCTAAATTTTGTGGTTCTAAATTTATCAGGCCTTTTTGTGGCGTTGGTTGTCTTTGCAGTATTGTTTTGCCTGGGCTCTTGTCCTTTTCCCTTCTCGACTCTATGGCTTTGTTGACAATTTTTTGCTTTGATCAATCAAAGTTTCGATGCTGCTGATCACCTCAGAAACAGGCTGATGTCAACCAAAGTTGTAGCAAGAAGGACGCGGTATATACTGATTCTATTTGTGAACCCACAGCTGGCTTGCGCATCACCATGCAGACCAGTTCGATACTGTTTTTTGCCTTGCCAGGAGCGCTCTGAATGGGTCTTGGGCTTGTCGCACACAATCCTTTTGATCATTGACTCCCTTCTGTGGCTATCTCAGCTGCCTTTGCTGGGTGGGGTGTTTCCTGCGTCCTTCTTGACGTGGTTCCCTTTCGTCAGATTCTCTCGGAGACATCTGGCTGCGTTTATTTGGATTGGTGTGCTTTTCAAAGGTGAATCGAACAAAGAGAATACGGTGGCGGCGCGATGGCTCTTTCGGGACCGCTGTTAACTGTTAGGATCGTCTTCGGATCGCCATGGATCTACCATTATTCCCCAGATAGCGAGAGCTATCGGGGTTCTTACTTCAAGTATATATATATATATATTTAAGAGGCTTACGCCTGACAGCCGGGCGC